ACAACAAGAGAAGAGAGTGCGCCTGCTGAAACCAGGAAGGAGCTAATGCTCTGATACCATGTAATCTGAGGAGCTATACTCGAAGTAGCAAAGAAGAGAAGAGAACCACTGAAATGAAGAGAATGTCGAACTGTACTAGCCAGTCGACCAGTCTTTTATTTATAGATGAATGAAGTACAAGGTACAAGAAATTAATGGGATGCCCCTGATTAGCGACGGGACACCCAGATGACTTAAATCATTAAACAGGATTAGGCCCATTAACACAGGCCCAATTACAAGATAAGTTAAACATAAGAATGGGCTGATAAGAACTCTTATCAGTCGAACATCACTCTAACATTCCAACAATATGTCCTCCTTATTCTCTTCATACCATTGGTTGTCTAGGCAGGATAAGATGAGAGTGGCTGATGGGTCTCTCTCCACCATCTCTGGAAAGGGGGTGGTTGACCTAAGCAAGGACCTCTCTCTTAAATCAGTCCTACATGTTCCTACTCTTACCTCAAATCTTTTGTCTGTTTCATTACTTACAAAAAGTTTGAATTGCAGTAAAACCTTTTTTCCTTCTCATTGTGTCTTTCAGGACAGATTGATGAGGAGAACAATTGGAAGTGGTCGTGAGTATGGGGGCCTCTACTATTTTGATGCAGACATCAGCTTAGCCCTACAAGCTTCTGCTACTACTAGTCCAGAAAGTGTGGAGTCAACAGATAGGCTACACCTGTGGCATGCTAGGCTAGGTCATGTGTCTTTTTCTTCTTTAGCAATGTTGTTACCCGAATTGTTTAAGGGAATTCCAAGTCAGAGTCTAATTTGTGATGTGTGTCAAATGTCAAAACAATGTAGAAGTGTGTATCCAACTTCTAGTAATGAAATTTGAGCTCCTTTTGATTTAGTTCATTCTGATGTTTGGGGACCTTCACCATTTGTCTCCATTGATGGCTTCCATTACTTTATTAGCTTTATTGATCATTATTCTCGATGTACATGGATTTATCTGTTAAAAGGACAAGATGAAGTGCCACGGATAACTATGGCCTTTTGCAAGATGATTGAAACACAATTTGACAAGAAGATTAAGCAATTCTAGTCAGACAATGCGACTGAATACTTTGAAAGATCTCTGAACTCAATCATGGAAGATGCAGGCATGTTATACCAATCTTCTTGTGCTAACACCCCTCAGCAAAATGGGGTTGCTGAGCGCAAGAACAGGCACCTATTGGAGATAGCTCGAGCTCTACTTTTCCAGCACAAAGTGCCCAAGCAATATTGGTCTCAAGCTATACTCACTGCATCATACCTAATAAATCGGATGCCATCTAAGGTACTGGGTATGAAGACTCCTTTCTCTGTTTTGTGTCCCACTCTTCCAGAATTTCCTCTTCCCCCAYGGGTTTTTGGYTRTACATGCTTCATACATGTGAAGGATCCAAAGAAAACCAAGCTGAATCCTAAGGCTACAAAGGGAATATTTTTGGGGTACTCTCCTACGCAAAAGGGGTATA